GGTGCAGTGCTGTGTCTTCTGATGAGTCCTGGTGGTTAAAACACAAGACATGTGAAGCAGGACTCTCCTGGCATGTTTTGTGGGTTTCTTGCTTGTCTCTTTGACCTTCCTACTTTTCTGCTGACCAACTGCTTTATCTCTTAGTTGCACTCACCCTTTGCAGTGAGAGAAAAACAGATGTTTAAAGATTCATTTGTAAAACAAATGTAAATCATACTGAAAGACAAAAAAACCTGAAGTCTTAGTAAAACATGAAGTCATTACAGCACTCGGCTTTTAATTGTTGCTTAGGGGTAGAGGGAAGGATACAATTTTTGTGCAGGTTGATGAAGTATGAATCAGCTGGCTCCTACTGCAAGGAATGGCTGAACATCATATGTGCTACTGCAGATACAGGCATTCCAAAGTCTTTGTTTTTAAACTGGCTTGAACACCAGCATGTGAAAACAGGCCTTAAGGGAGGGCTCTGTAAGCATAGGCCAAGCCCCAGCATGTTGCCATGATTTGTCCCTCTTTGGCATGCCCAGGATGACAACATACCTCATTTAAATGTTTTATTAATTTTTCTGGATTTTGCACTTGTTTAGTGGTGAAGTTCCAAAGCACTGGAGGTGCCCACTGACCTAGATATTTGCCTATACTATCCCACACACCCTGCCACTCATGACTGTCCAGCCTCAGGGAAAATCTCTTGGTCTTCCTATACTGTTATCTAACCCTAGACAAGGCCCAAACCTGACCCTGCTTAACTTCTGAGATCAGACGAAATGGTCATGGGTAAAACACACTCTATGCGCACCAACATGGTGATCTCCATCACAATCAGCAGGCAGGACTCGAGGGCACTCAAAGGCCATTCAGAACCTTGAGAACTCTCAAATGATATTGTGAACGGTCTGGTGGGGGAGCTGGGAAGGTAAGGGAATGTTTCCTTTCACAGGTTGACCACCCGAGTAGGGGGAAAAAAGATGTGTAATTGCTAAGCATTTCTGTTATATACCTCCCAAATATAGATGTGGTGACCACACTGGGAACGCAAGCTGCATCGCTTTCTGTTGTGGTTTAAACACAGTCAGCCATAAATCATGCAGTTGCTCTCTCACTCCCCCCCTTTTTGCCCCCACCATGCTCCTGGAGGGATGGGGAGGGGAAGCAAAAGAATGCAACTCCCATGGGTTGAGATAAGAACAGTTTAGTAAGTAAGGTATAACACAGATCACTGCTGCTACCACCAGTAATAATAATAATGATAAAGGAAATAATAAGATAACAAGGGAAAAGAATACAGCACCTTGCCCCCTCCCTCACCTGATCAAGCACCGACTGATACCTAGTCCAACCCCGCAGTCCTCTAGCCCTTCCAGGTAACTCTCAGTTACATCCTGGGCAAGACGTGCTGTAGTATGGAATACCTCTTTGGTCAGTTTGGATCAGGTGTCTTTTCTCTGCTTCTTCCTGGCTTCCCCTCTCTGGCAGAGCATGAGGCTCACAAAGTTCTTGGTCAGTCTAAACGTTTGAGTAGTAACTAAAAAACATTGGTGTTATCAGCAGTGTTCCCATGCTGAAAGTCAAAAACACAGTGCTGCACCAGCTACTAAGAAGGAGAAAAATGATTGCTACTGCTGAACTCAGGACACTTTTATAATCAATGAGTCTATTGTATTACAAGTCATTATCATAAAGTACAGTGAAACAAGAACCTTAGCCGATAAACACTAAAACAGCAAATACCGGCTGTAAGCAAGATATGACATGCTGAAACTCTGAGAACAAGAGCAACACCTTTGAGAGCCAATAAATCAGCATTGTGACGAGTGCCTATTAATCTGAATCAATAAATGCTTATAATGATTTGACACACTGGTCAGATATATTATCTCAACCCTTCATGCACCACATTGGGTGCCACAAAGAACAGGTGTGGTTTAAGCCTAGTTGGTAACTCGAAACCATGCAGCCCCTTGTGTATAACACAAAGCCACTACTGCTACCACCAATAATAATAATGACAAGGAAAATAACAAGGGAAGAGAATACAGTCGCTCACCACCTGCCAACCAGTACCCAGCCCAACCTGAGCAGTGATCTAGCCCTTCAAGGTAACTGCCCCCAGTTTATATGCTGGCCATGACATAGAATCATAGAATAGTTAGGGTTGGAAAGGACCTTAAGATCATCAAGTTCCAACCCCCTGCCATGGCCAGGGACACCCCGCTCTAGACCATATCACCCAAGGCCTCGTCCAACCTGGCCTTGAACACTGCCAGGGATGAAGCATTCACAACCTCCCTGGGCAACCTATTCCAGTGCCTCACCACCCTAACAGGAAAGAATTTCCTCCTTATATCTAATCTTTCCCTGTTTAAGTTTTAACCCATTACCCCTTGTCCTATCACTACAGTGTGGTATGGAATATCTCTTTGACTAGTTTGGGTCAGGTGTCCTGTCTCTGCTTCCTCCCGGCTTCCTCTCTTCCTTGGCAGAGCTTGAGACTCAGAAAAGTCCTTGGTCAGAGTAAACATTACTGAGCAGGAACTAAAAACATTGGTGTTATCAGTGCTGTTCTCAGTCTGAAAGTCAAAACCACAGCACTGCACCAACTGCTAAGGAGAAAAATGACTGCTATTGTTGAACCCAGGACAGAGTCTAAATGTCTTTATCTGAAGTCAAGGAGAATGCACCAGTGTGTTTTGTGCTTTGAGAGAAGTTCCTGCATAAGCATGTCTAGTTTCAGTGTGAATTATATGAAATATGATGATATAGTTTTTTTAAAAAACTCAGGTATCTTGCTAATGAATTCAGCTTTTCAGAGTTGAAAGCTGTTTATTATCTGAGTTTTGAAGACCTACCAAGTCCAATGGTGTGAGGCTTTCAGGGCTCTGATTCAGGAACAAGGGTGGAGTACTTTATCTGGAAAGGTCAGTCTGCATGCCAGAGGCTCCCCAGCTGCTTTGTTAGCTCCTCAGCTATTGGTCACTGTGCTTAGGGCAGGTAATAGGCATCAGTAATCACATTGCATCTGTCAACTTGTGTGTCCGTCCCCCCCTTGATTTCTGAAGACTCTCACAGAATTTTGAGCATTGCAAGCCTGAGCAGGTGATGCTTAAGGCATTGTGTTGGAAGTACTGAGTCCTCAGCAGCTCTAGCTAAGGTATGTGCTGTTGCACTGAGCTTTGAAGTTTGCATGCAGTGCATTAGCAGCTGAAGTGATCAAAGCAATTGAACAGCCGCTGAAACAACGTAGTTAGTGGCAGCATGGCATTTGTTGTTGAGGAAACAAGCAAAAATTACTCTATAGATGAGCAGCTAGATTGTCATCTGTGGGAAGTTCTCTAACTTGATATCTCAGGCTTTTGTTGTGCACCGGAAGGGTAGGAGAGGCTAGGTGAAAGGTAAACCCGAAATGCAGAACAGTAAAAGACTTGTTTGCTTTCTCAGAAAGAAGTTAGCATTAGAGTACAGACTGTTTTCTTTACAGACTCATAGTTGATTCTGTGCTTTTTTTTTTTTAATTCTGCTTCTCAGAGAATGACTTCTTACTCTAATAGCTCCTTGAACTGTCTTTCATTTCTATGCATCTATTAAATTGACTGTGCCTACTTTGTTTCTTGTGAGATGAATGAGTGAAGACGGTGCTGAAAGGGAGTAATGTTGTATTTTCTGTGTTGTTTGAAATTATTAATCTTGAAATGAGGGCTGTGGGACATGGTTTCCTGATAATCCTCATCTTTCCAATGCTGGTTATGACACCACTGCTTCCAAAGGCTCTTGGCTGGTAGATTTGTGCCCTGCATAGCATGCTGTCATGGAAGACATAAGTGTGGTGACACGCATAGCTAGTCTGTAAATACAGGACAGAAAACTGCTCTGCTCTTCTCAGTGGAGACCCTGCAGTAGGAATGCTGATAGAAAGAAGATATGCTTGAGCTAATATTATTTCTTCATTATTAAGGTACTGCTTGTTGTGCTAATTAAAACATCTAGAGTATGTCACTTCATACTGAAGTGTGAGAAGGTGTAAAAATGAAGCTTGGAGATTAAAATCTCTATTTTCTCTGGCAAATACCATTACTTGCTTGTCAGTTGGTTTTATTTGTTCCCTCCCACTCATGGACTGCCTTTCATGTTGTTCAGTACTTAATTTTACTATGATAGCCTTAGTGTAAGGAAGGCTTACCTACCTCCTGTGGCTCTAAGCCTTTGCTTTTTCTGCTTGAATAACCTTAGCTGATGAGTGTGGAATGGAGCAAGTCCGGGCACTTTGAAATGCACCATAGTGCTAAACGTCAATTATGCTTTGAGGATTTGCCATAGGATGAATTTAGAACTATTGAAGGAGGTGCTGTGTGAAAATTCCCCTACCTAGCTGGGTTGCTACTGAAGGCACATAGATGCTGCAGGTGGTGCTTTTTTTGAGAAGCATTTTCACAAATGCTAGGGTAGATACGGGAAGCCTAATCTTAGCATGGTGTGTGTATGTATAGTATATTTTACTAAATTCTGACTAGTTGGTAAATCTGAGGAGGACTGAAACAGGTGTTTGTTCTTTGTTGAAAGAGCTTGTGTATTGGGGTAAAATCCAGTGCTGCTCAAGAGTAGGAAAGCATGTGTTGGTTTAACCATTTGAATGTGCCATAAAGGATTCTCTGTCTGGCAGCATGCCGCTTTCTTTGCGACACAAGGGTAAGCCGACAAGAAAAAGTTACTTTAACTGAAAGTAGTAACAGAATTCTAACCAAATCCTGGTGTGTGCCAGTTCATAAAATGAGAATGTATCTTAAATTTATTCCATCCAGTGCAGTAGGCAAATGTTCTATTACTCAGTTTAAATGAATTCTTGGAAAAGAGGCAGGAGAAGCTCTTAAGTGGAGTCTCATGTTACCAGCTGGCTTGGAAGTAATGAGAATATGTATAGAAGCTTCCTGCATCAGTATTGTCACTGTGCAGGCATGTGTGCAAATGCTTTAAGGTTCATAGCATGTGTTTTGCTTTTGTTTCAGGTGTACTTGAAGGCACCTATGATTCTTAATGGTGTTTGTGTAATCTGGAAAGGCTGGATAGATCTTCAGAGACTGGATGGTATGGGCTGCCTGGAATTTGATGAAGAGAGAGCACAGGTAAGACAGTCTGCCCACAGCTACTGTGCCTTAGACATTTTTGTTCTGGAAGGAAACACAGGTAGTGATCACGCATTCTGATGCGCTTGTTTCCTGCCTTCATTTTGAGTACAAATTCCAAAGAAAACTGAAAGCATAGAAGTTCAGAAATAAGTGGTTGTAGTTAAACTACTGTTTTAAATTACATAAAAATATTAGGGGCAGGAATCATCTCTAGTTTACAACTTTGCGGATGATTTAACACTATGCTATGGATTAGTACATCTTGTCGTATTTGAAAAGATATGTCTAACTTTTAACAGTACAACTGGTTGGTCAATTTTAGCAGTTTACTTTAGGGTGGTTATTTTATAAATCTTTTTTTTTATTACATAGGGGGGAGGATGAATAGGGTTTTACCATTTGTTATCTTCTTTTCCCAGTCCTGCCCCCCCCCCCATCCCTTGTCCCTTGTCCCCTCTTCCCTCCCCCCTTCCCTCCCCATTGGCATTTGCTGGAACTTGCGTGTGTTCTAGCAGATTCTGTAGGGCATTCTTGTCTTTGCTGTCAAGTGATCCCTAATATTCAAAAGAAATGTGATCTGATAAAAACAAGGGTAGCCTCTTGTGTCATTCTGGTTTGGTAGCAGGAGGATGCATTGGCACAACAAGCCTTTGAAGAAGCTCGGCGGCGAACACGTGAATTTGAGGATAGAGACAGGTCTCATCGGGAGGAAATGGAGGTGAGGGCTTCACAGCTGATGTCAGTAACTGGTTAGTACTTTCCGAAAACTTCAGATTTATTTTCATTTATTTGTCTCTGTACAATGTTGTGTTTGCTGTTGTATAAAAAAAGCAAAATGCATTTTTTAAATCTTAAAATCAGTTTCAAGGTTTTGAAGTTTTGGTAAGAATTCCCAGGTTTTATCCTTCTGTCCTGGGTTCAGCAGTAGCAGTCATTTTTCTCCTTCTTAATAGCTGGTGCAGTGCTGTCTTCTTGACTTTCAGCATGGGAACAGCGCTGATAACACCAGTATTTTTAGTTGCTGCTCAGTAATGTTTGCTCTGACCAAGGACTTCCTGAGTCTCATGCTCTGACAGGGAGGAGGGGAAGTCGGGAGGAAGCAGAGACAGGACACCTGACCCAAACAAACCAAAGAGGTATTCCATACCACAGCATGTCATGCCTAGTATATAAACTGGGGGCAGTTACCTGGAAGGGCTAGATCACTGCTCGGGTTGGGCTGGGTATTGGTTGGCAGGTGGTGACCAATTGTATTCTCTTCCTTTGTTATTTCTCTTACCATTGTTATTATTGGTGGTAGCAGTAGTGGTTTGTGTTATACCTCAGTTACTAAATTGTTCTTGTCTCAGCCCATGGGAGTTGCATTCTTTTGCTTGTCTAGGGTTAGATAACGATACAGGAAGACCAAGAGATTTTCCCTGAGCCTGCACAGTCATGAATGGCAGGGTGTGTGGGATAGTATGGGCAAGTATCTAGACCAGTGGGCCCCTCCAGTGCTTTGGGACTTCACCACTCAAGAAGTGCAAAATCCAGAAAAATTAGTAAAATATTTAAATGAGGTATGTTGTCATCCTGGGCATGCCTGAGAGTGACAAATTGTGGCAACATCCTGGGGCTTGGGCTGTGCTTATAGAGCCCTATTCAACACTATCCAGAAGCTTCAAAGAGAAAAAAATGTCTCTGGATCTGATGGCAAAGCAACTGGCAATGCAGCTACTCTAGCTCCATCTACAGCAATCTACTCCAAGTCCATATACAGCAGCTACACCAGCCCTAGTGATAAGTATGTCAGTTACTCAAACTCCAACCGCAACAGACAATGCAGCTACTCCAGCCCCAGGGACAAGTAGAACAGCTACCCAAACCACAACAGATACTTCAGCCACTCCAACTGCAGTGATAATCACTGCAGCTAAACCAGAGGACCAATTCATGCCAATATCAGTTGCCCCTGTACGCAAGGGGAAAAGCAAAAAAGAGGTAAGAAAGATGAAGAAACAATGTAGTCACCACCAACAGCATCTGAACAGGTGTTATTTGTATGTGAATCAGAGGAAGAAGAGGCGACTTTTTGACTCTGGACTTCATCTGAGCTACGGAATATGTGAAAAGATTTTACCTGTCAACCAGGGCAGCATATTATCACCTGGTTGCTCTGATGCTGGGACAATGGGGCCAATGGTCACAAAGTAGAAGTTAGGGAAGCTAAGCAGCTGAGATCACTTGCTAGGGAAGTGGGAATTGATAAAGCAGTTAGAAAAGAGAAACTGTCCCTGAGCCTTTGGAGGCAGCTCTTGGCAGCTGTGAAAGAAAGGTTTCCATAGAAGGATGATGTTATTAGTCATTCATCCAACTACTCTAGAGAAAGGCATCCAGTTGCTGAGGGAATTAGCCATTGTAGAGATGACCTATTGCAAGCAGGATGCCGGGAAAGGACCCATAGTTCCAGATGAAGTCAAATGTACGACCCATTTAGTGGAAAATTACATGGAATGCACCGTCATCATATGCCCACTCACTGGCAGCAATAACCTGGCATGACGTAGCACCACCAACAGTGGATGGAATGTTTTGTCAACTCTGAGAGTCCGAAGGCAATCTCACCCCTTCCATCATTTCAGCTGTTGAAAAACTTTCAGGTGCTCAGACAATGGACAGGGGTAGAGCAGTTGATGTCATCTATCTGCACCTCTGCAAAGCATTTGACATGGTCCCACACGACATCCTTGTCTCTAAATTGGAGAGACATCAATTTGATAGGTGGACCACTTGGTGGATAATGAACTGGCTGGGTGGCCGCATGCAAAGATTTGTGGTCAATGGCTCAATATCTGGCTGGAGACCAGTAATGTGTGGTGTCCCTCAGAGATCGTTGTTGGGACCGGTCTTGTTCAACATCTTTGTTGGTGACATGGACAGTGGGATTGAGTGTGCTCTCAGCAGGTTTGCTAAAGACACCAAGCTGTGTGGTTCGGTTGATAAGCTGGAGGGAAGGGATGCCATCCAGAGGGACCTCGCCACGCTTGTAACGGGGGCTGATGCCAACCTTATGAAATTTAACCATGCCAAGTGCAAGGTCCTACACCTGTGTCAGAGCAATCCCAGGCACAGCTACAGGTTGTGCAAAGAAGAGATTCGGAGCAGCCCTGTGGAGAAGGACTTGAGGGTGTTGGTCGATGAGAATATGAACATGAGCTAGCAGTGTGTGCTTGCAGCCCAGAAAGCCAACTGTATCCTGGGCTGCATCAAAAGGAGTGTGACCAGCAGGTTGAAGGAGGTGATCCTGCCCCTCTCCTCGGCTTTTGTGAGACCTCACCTGGAGTACAGTGTACAGTTCTGGTGTCCTCAACATAAAAAGGACATGGAACTGTTGGAACAAGTCCAGAGAAGGGCCACGAGGATGATCGGGGACTGGAGCACCTCCTGTATGAGGACAGACTGAGAAAGTTGGGACTGTTCAGCCTGGAGAAGAGAAGGTTGTATGGAGACATCATAGCTGCTTTCCAGTATCTGAAGGGGGGCTATAGGGATACTGGAGATGGGGTTCTTCATTAGGGAGTGTAGTGACAGGACAAGGGGTAATGGTTTAGAACTTAAACAGGGGAAGTTTAGATTGGATATGATGAAGAAATTATTTCCTGTTAGGGTGGTGATTACTGGAATGGGTTGCCCAGGGAGGCTGGGAATGCTCCATCCCTTGTGGTGTTCAGGGCCAGATTGGACGAGGCCTCTGTTGGCATGGTTTAGTGTGAGGTGTCCCTGCCCATGGCAGGGGGGTTGGAACTAGATGATCTTAAGGTCCTTTCCAACCCTAACTATTCTATTATTCTAATTGAGAGATGATCTATCCGAACTATCCAGTTCTCCACGTGTACCAACCTACGTCTCGGCTATTAACAAAAGGCGTCCTGCTGCTTGGCAGGAAGATATAAGAGGTATACACCACAGGCCACCCTATGGTTTTACCTGCAGGGATCACAGAGAAGACATGAGAAATTGGGATGGAAAACCTACCTCAGCTCTGGAGGAACGGGTGTTTGAATTGAAGAGGAGAACAAAGGTCAAGGATGATCCCAAGAAAGCTGTGGCTTCAGTCTCTGGTGAGCAGGTTCCCAGATGGAGTAGACGAGCTGATTTTAGTTCAGCTCCTGTGATAAAGACTAATCCCTCTCAACAAGACCTAAGTGACCAGTGTGATGATTCTTAGAGGGGACCTGCCTCCAGCCAGGTGGAGGTGGGGACAGTCGGATTTACTGGACTGTGTGGATCAGATAGCCTTGCACATCAGTCCCATAAAAGTATAAGGCTCTAGTAGATACCGGTGCACAGTGTACCCTGATGCCATCAAGTTGTCAAGGGGTGGAACCCATTTCTATTTCTGGATTGACAGGAGGATCCCAGGAGTTGACTGTACTGGAGGCTGAAATCAGCCTCACTGGGAGGAAATGTTAAAAGCACCCCATTGTGACTGGTCCAGATGCTCCATGCATCCTTGGCATAGACTATCTCAAGAGAGGGTACTTCAAAGACCCAAAAGGGTACCGATGGGCTTTTGATATTGCTGCTCTGGAGACAGAGGAAATTGAGCAGCTGCCCACCTTGCCTGGTCTCTCAGAGGATCCTTCTGTTGTGGGGTTGCTGGAGGTGGAAGAACAACAAGTGCCAATCACAACTACAACAGTGCACTGGCGGCAATATCGCACTAACTGAGACTCCCTGATTCCCATCTATAAACTCATCCATAGACTGGAGAGCCAAGGAGTGATCAGTAGGACCCGCTCAGCCTTTAATAGCTCCATATGGGGAAAGTCTAACAGAGAATGGAGACTAACAGTAACTGTTGTGGCCTGAATGAAGTCACACCACCCTTGAGTGCTGCCGTACTGGACATGCTAGAACTTCAGTATGAACTGGAGTCAAAGGTAGCCAAGTGGTATGCCACGACTGATATTGCCAATGCGTTTTTCTCAATTTCCTTGGCAGCAGAGTGCAGGCTACAGTTGGCTTTTACTTGGAGGGGCATCCAGTACACTTGGATCTGACTGCCCCAGGGGTGGAAACGCAGCCCTTCCATCTGCCATGGACTGATTCAGACTGCACTGGAATAGGGGCCAGCTCCAGAACATCTGCAATACAATGATGACATAATCATGTGTGGTAATACAGCAGCAGAAGTTTTTGAGAAAGGGAGGAAAATAATCCAAATGCTTCTAGAGGCCGGTTTTGCCATAAACCAGAGTAAGGTCAAGGAACCTGCACAGGAGATGCAATTTAGGGGAATAAATTGGCAAGATGGCCGTCACTAAATCCCCACAGATTTGATCAACAAGATAACAGCAGTGTCTCCACCAACTAATAGAAAAGGAAGACAAGCTTTCTTAGATATTGTTGGGTTATGGAGAATGTACATCCCAAATTACACTCTGATTGTATCTGTCTATCACGTGACCCTGAAGAATTATTTGATATGGGTCCCTGAGCAACAAGAAGCCTTTGAACAAACTGAACAAGAGATAGTTCATGCAGTAGCCCTTGGACCAGTCTGGACTGGGCCAGATGTAAAAGATGTACTCTACACTGCAGCTGGGGAGAATGGTCCTACCTGGAGCCCCTGGCAGAAAGCTCCAGGGGAGACTGGTGCTCATCCCCTTGGCTTTTGGAGTCGGGCATACAGAGGATCTGAGGCTAGCTTATACCCCAACTGAGAAAGAGATAGTGGCAGCCTATACAGGGGTTTGAGTGGCTTCAG